TGTATATAGAGTCGGACAGAAAACAGCAGCTCAGAATTGGTGACACCAAGCAGACATTGTCAGCCTCTCGATGCTACCCTGGGGGAGACCGGAAAGGCTCAATGGTGGGAGGAAGGACCCTGTAAAATATTGATAGGGTTCTTTCCTGGTAGCCAAGTTTTCAGCAGGAGCCCTGAAGAAAGAATTCCAACAGGAATGGTACGCTCTTCTGTGAGGAGTGAGACAGTAAACATTCTAGGTTTTGTAGGCCATGCTACTACAGCACAGAGAAGCAGCCATGAGCAAATCACACGTGCGTGAGCACGGCGGGGTTCTCGTAAAGCTGCTTATGGACATGGACACCAGACAACAGCGTCTGTTCTGCACAGACCTGACCCACTGAACCCAGGACTACACACAGAGCACCCTTCCCAAGCACTCCTGGATTCTTGACTAGAGCTGGACGCAGTCAGCATGGCTGCAAACATTTAAATGGACTGACACTGTAGCTGTGCTCTCCGGCACAGGTCACAGCAATCAGCAACAAAAGCCAATGTCTGCAAGTGCTGGACATAGGAAATATTTTCAGAGTATAACCCCATTACTTGGGAGGCAGAGGCAGGTGGATCTCTGGGTTCAAGACCAGCCTGGTTTATAGTGAGTTCCAGGACAGCCAAGGCTACACAGAGAAACCCCATCTTGGGAAAAAAAAAAGAGGAACTATTTTCAAAATACAACACAAGCTATCTTAAGATAAAGAAATATCGACAGCTAACATACACACACTGGCGAAGAACCAAAAAAAGACACAAAATATCCTTCTTGACAAATACCTTCTCAACCACAAAGAATATATAAGAAAAGGGTAGAAATACACAACAGAAAACATGTCACTGTGCTGTTCCACACCAGTAACCCCAGTCAGTGCTTTGGAGCAGGAGGGGCCGGGGTCCACCAGTGAGGTTTTGCCTCAGAGAGACCAAAACCTGACAGGTGGGGACAGGGCGGTGCTGTCAGTGGCAGAGAGCTGACTTAACAGGCCCCAAGCTGGGGTCCTGTTGCCAGCTGATAAATTACAGGCTCAGCAGGCAAAGTTGCCTGCGCAAGCTGACAGAACCACAGGGAGGGAGGAAGAAGGAACCCTGCAAGCTGTCCTCCGACACCCCCATGCAGACCACAGCAGGCGCATGCACACGTGTCCCCACAAAATAATGCAATAAATAACTTCAGTTTAAAAAAAAGTAGTGAAGCCAGGCAGTGGTGGCACACGCCTTTAATCCCAGCACTCAGGAGACAGAGGCAGGCGGATCTCTGTGAGTTCGAGGCCAGGCTGGTCTACAGAGAGAGTTCCAGGACAGCCTCCAAAACAATACAGAGAAACCCTGTCTTGTAAAAAACAAAAATAATAATAATAATAATAAAAATAAAATAAAAAAAAAGTAGTGACTCTGTGAGTTCAAGGCCGGGCTGATCCAACAGCCTCCAAAACAATACAGAGAAACCCTGTCTCATAAAACCAAAATAAATAAATAAAGTAGTGAAATGTGGGCATTGGTGGCACACAACTTTAATCCCAACACTCGGGAGGCAGAGGCAGGCTGATCTCTGTGAGTTTGAGGCTAGCCTGGTCTACAGAGTGAGTTCCAGGACAGCCAAAGCCACAGAGAAACCCTGTCTCGAAAAACATGAAAAAAGAAAAAGTGGGCGTGGGGTGGCAGATCCCTAGAGCTCACCCGACAGCCAGTTATACACATACAAAACAAAACAAGGTGGAACACTCTTCATCAACATCCAAGGCTTCTTATGGACCCCACACGCATGCGCACACATGAACACCCACCTGTGCCCACACACACACACACACACACACACACACACACACACACACACACACACACACACAGAGGAACACTGAATGTAAATGATGAAGTTGGTAAACTCTAAAACTCTGAAATCTGGCCGGGTGGTGGTGGTGGCAAACACCTTTAACCCGGCACTCAGGAGGCAGAGGCAGGCGGATCTCTGTGAGTTTGAGACAAACCTGATCGACAGAGTGAGCTCCACGACAACCTCCAAAACAATACAGAGAAACCTTGTCTCAAAAAACCTAAATAAATAAATAATAAAACTCTGAAATCTGAAATGCTTCAAAATCCCCAAATTTTCATCTTAGCTACAAAGCCACAAGTAGAAAATTCCAAACTATAAAATTTGTTTCATACACAGTTTTAAAAATATCACATAAAGGGGTTGGAGAGATGGCTCAGTGGTTAAGAGCACTGGCTGCTCTTCCAGAATCCCATTCCCAGCACCCACACAGCAACTCATAATGGTGTATAACTCCTGTTCTGGGAATCCAACACCCTAACACGGACATACATGTAGGCAAAACATCAATGTACATAAAATACAAATAAATTATTTTTTAAAAATCACATAAAGTACCTTCAGACCATGGATACATACGACAAACAAATTTCATGACCTAAGTCCCCATTACGCAAATACTTCCAAACCCAAAGCCGTCTGAACCCTGCTGCACAGCCTTCAGTCTGGGTCACCCGAGCATATCTCTGTGGTGCACAGCATCCATGCCCACGAATGTTTGTGGGGACCCGAGGGTGACATCTGGTGTCTTGTTCTATCTGAGACAGTCTCTCACTAAACAGAGCTCGCCAACTGACCAGCCTGGCTGGCTAATGTGCCTCGATCTTGCTGCCTCCACCTCTCAGAGCTGGACTACAGGCATACGCTCCCACACTTGGCTTTGCATGGTGCTAGGGATACGAACTCAGGTCCTCATGCTTACACGGCAGGCAATTTACTGAGACATCTCGCTGGACCCTCAACCTGTATCCGGAGCACAAATATGTCTAGCACCACAAAATTTGAAGATTAGTAGTTATGGCAAAAATTAAATTTTTGGATGAACATGTAATTTAGATTAACACAGAAAATAGTTAAAAGTCCTAAGAGCCCACCTCCAGGGTTTTCTGTGTAGCCCTGGCTGTCCTGGAACTCGCTCACCAGGTGGCTTCTGCCTGCCTCTGCCTCTGAGTGCTAGGATTAAAAGTGGTTGTCGCCATGCCTGGTTTGAGTCCTAGGAACTTAATCACAACTATCACACAGAAAATCCCAGCAAATATTCCATCACTGTGGCTTTGCTAGCATGAGACACTTGAGACTCTGTCACAGAAAACAAAATGGTCTGAAGAGATGGCTCAGTGGTCAGCAGTGCCCTGCAGACCCGGGTTCCAGCCTCAGTGCCCACATGGCAAGCAGCTCACAACCATCTGTAACTCCAGTCCCAGAGGATCTGACCACCTTATCTGGAGGGCTTAGCATCCTGTGGTAAAGGCACATAGGGCCACACCCACAACACACACGCAGGCAAACCATCAGCACCTTCCCCCAACAACCCCAACCTGATACCTAATAAAGCGGAGGCTTATTTTCATACTTTCATCTTCATGATCTTTGGTTAGAATTCATTTTCCTTCATGCTCCAGATAATACCGGTTTTGTGGTCACATCAAAGTCTCTCCATTTTTTCACCTTTTAATTTCTCTGCACCTTTCCCTTCTGAAGCAGTTAAATAGTTAATTTATTTAGTGGCAAGACGGAAGCTAGGAACCAAGACTCTGCCATACCATCTCTCTTTTGTGTTGGGGGCAGGGGAGTATTACACACACACACACACACACACACACACACACACACACACACACACACAAGCCAAGCAGGCACTCTTCCTCTGAGCTACATCTCTAGCCTACCTTGGATTTTTTTTTTTAACCTAAAAGATGAAAGGATTGTACTAGGTAAATTTATAGTAGGACCGCTTATTCCATTAAGTTTCATAATTCAACAACTCTGTTTTCCAACTTAAATCATTTAACAATCCAACAATTTCTTTCAGTTTTCTACTCTGATTAGCTGTGGAAGCTTGGGGAGGTCAGATTTGAGGCAGGTGGGATGCATCCAAAAAAAAAAGTCAAGACGCTCAGGACAACAGAAAGAAAGGTACATTTTGCAAATCATCAACAGCAACAAAAAATACCAATCAGTAAACCCAGACATCCAAAAAGATACCAAAGCCAAGAAAATGCCCCACTAACGGCTGGCTTTAAAGGTCACCGGTGGGGTCTATTTGAAGGGACAATAAGAAGTGGAAAACACCGTTGGCAGACGTGGAGGTCATCCAACCCTCATTTCTGCTTGAGAGCAAGGGAATTCTGGGCCATATCTGGGACACTGCTTATAAAATGACTTCAGTGCTTTGCAGAAGATAGGCGTTATTCGGTTACTCGGTCTGTGAACTAAAAGCCCACATAAACACCACTGTGGCTGGTAAACACCCCAGAGGGTCCGAGACCTCCAGGCTGTGGGAGTCTCAAGGCACTGGCTGGTTCTGTGGGGAGGGAGGGAGATTTGACCTAATGGCATAGCTTACGTTCTGATGCTCCTAGTAACAGACTCCGGAAAGGAACAGGGCAAGCTAACCAGACACAAGCGATCTTTCTCCTACCGAGGCAATAACAGGATATGTATGAAAGCCATTTCATTTCCTATGCTGATGTCAGGTTCCAGAAAACACTATACTTTCTCACACTGCCTTCCGGAGTCCCGGGCTTCTCCTGCCTGGATACGAACTGAGAGAAGTAAGTCAACAAAAAAAGAAAGACACTGACTGGTCTGTTTTTTTTGTTTTGTTTTTTACTATTCTGAGGCCAGGCAAATTAGGATTTCCCAAGGTCTGGTCCCTGGCTTACCAGTGCGGCCCAAACCAAGGGGTGGGTGCCGACTCAGGCCACCCCAGATGTCTAGAATCAAATTCTGAGAGCCGTGCTAGGGTCCTGAAACCTTTTAAAGGGGCAGGAACGCGTGAGAACTGCTACTCGGGACTGCGTCTATGTTCTTTAGGAATGGGGTTGATGTTCTAAATTCCAAACTCAGTACAACTAGTATTATCCCAACACTTCGGGAGACCTTTAAAAAACAAACAACTAACAAACATGTACCAAAACTTCCCGGGAAATAATGGCTTCTCAGCGAACGGACACCGTGAAAGGGCAGAGGAATGCCTTTTCTTAAGTCGACCAAAGAGTTCCTCGTCGGCCTTGTCCGTCTGCTGAATTCTCACCGAAAACATTAGCTGTACTTCAGAAGAACAGCACATCGGCCCAACCCTGGAATGTTCCCAAAGAATGACAAAATCCCCCACCAAGGGGAACTTTTCTGACGGCGCGGGCCCGAGACGCCGTCTGCTCCAAAAACAAAACAAAAACTTCGCATTTGCAAGAAAACAACCGGTTCTGCAAACGCCAGGGTGGGATGACCACACAGGGGCGACAGGCAGGCCCCGACGGAAGGTTCCAGAGTCCCGCGGGAAGCGCGACCAACCCTTCCCCGGCCCGGGCTGCGGGCGGGCGGGCGGCCGTCCCCCTCCGGGGCGGCCCGCTCGCCCGGGCTCTTCCTCTGGGGCCGGGGAGGAGCCCGCGCAGGGCCCCAAGACCTCCGCTCGGCGCCCGCCGCCATCATCAGCCCGCGCCGCCCGCCCGCCGGGCCCGCCACTCACCGTCCGCCGCCGCCTTCTCGGCCCCGGAGCTCCGACGCCACCCCGGACGCGAGCGTGCGAGCAGCCGCCGTCGCCGGGCCCCGCTGCGCTCCGGCCACCGCGCGTCCCCGCCCCTCGCCCGGCCGCGGCCACGCGGCTGAGTCACCCGGCCCCGCCCGGTCAGGGTTCCCAACCCCGCCTCCGCCCTCCGCGCGGGGCACGCCGGGAAGGCCGCGCGGGACGCCCCGCCCCCGCCGCGCCCCAGGCCGTGAGCCCGGGGCCTCGTGCGCTGCTGCGTCCGCCCGGGTAGATTTGATGGTGAGAGATGCTCGGCGGTCCCAGCACGGCTGATGCTCCTAGGAGAGCGAGCCTCGCCTTCCCGAACGTCGGTGTGTGACCGATGCATATGGATTGCAGCCGAAAGGAAGGAAAACAGAAAAAAAAAAAGGACAAAAGATGCATGGGAAGGGAAAATAACTTTTTCTCAACCTTTTTGAGCTTGACGGGACCATGTGCTATAGCCACGCCCTGTAGGTTTCACCGTAGCGGGGAGCCTGGCTGTGTTGGGTGTAAATTGCATCAGAGCAGGAAAGGTGGCTGGCTTTTGTACTTCAGTTATCAGATCGGCTGATTGCTCAATCGCAAGGATTGCACACATTTCATTAGAAAGAAAGCTCCGCAGTCACACACACACGGTTGGAGGCCTGGTCTACAGAGTGAGTTCCAGGGTGGCCAGGGATACACAGAGAAACCCTGTCTCAAAAAACCAAAAACAAACAAAAAACCCACCTGCCTAACAAAGCCAACACAGTAATGAACATCGGCTGGGATCACTGGGCCTTGGGACTACAAGGAACACGCTGATACAGCTTTCCCCCCAAAAGCTGCCACACAGAGGGCCTGCTGCCTTCCTTGCTCTGACTGAAGGACGATGGCTCCCTCTTTATTTCCATGTCCCCTTATCAGTCCTGATCTACCATTTAATACCTGTTAACCAGAGGAGACACTCAGAAACACACATTTTAATCCATAGTTAGATGAAAAGGGTTCCTCCTTTATTCGATTTCATATATCCGCATACCAGCCATGGCACTGATTTTTGGATAGGCATCAAAGTATTTGTGCTGATTTTCTTTGTTTGTTTGTTTTGGAGGCTGTCAGACCAGCCCGACCTCCAACTCACAGAAATCCGCCTGCCTCTGCCTTCCGAGTGCTGGGATTAAAGGCGTGCGCCACCAACACCTGGCTTGTATTGATTTTTATAACTCTATTTTTAATGTAATGCCCCCCCAAATATCAAGCCTCTGTGTAGTGTGAAGTCTTCCTGCCAGCCTGGTTCCAGAGCCGCATCAGTCCCAAATGAACACACAGGACACTGTATTAATTATGAAGCTGTTGGCTGTCTGTAGAGAGAAGCCTTTTTCTTGTCTGCAGCTTTGGTTTTTCCCCACCAGTCGCCTGACTCTGCCATGTTGTAGTCCCCAAATAACACACAAGACGCTGTATTAATTATGAAGCTGTTGGCCTTGCTTGTTTCTTACTGGCTATCTCTGACTTAAGTATTTAACCCATAATTGTTAATCTAAGTATTTCTCTTACTGGAGAAAGGGTCAGGACCTGTTACTTATATGGCGGCTACATGATGTCTGCCTGTGTCTCTCTTTCCCAGAATCCTCCTGGACTCCTAGTCCCACCTATCTTGCTTCCCTATTGGCCAACAGTGCTTTATTGACATATACACAGGACTTTCCCATCACCTCTGAGGTATATTTATCCCCTGAGACTGTAACTCTTTAGAAAGCCAAATTGGCAGGCCCGGAATGGTCATTGTTCATAATGGCTGATTCAGAAGGCAATATAGGGTCATTCAATTAATGAGTTTATTACATTTCCTAAAAACACTGCATCTGCTGCCAGCAAATTCTATAGGACATTCTTCATGACGTTTTACAACCCATAAAACAACCGAGGGAGGGAAGTTTCATCATCCAGATTTTCGTAATAAACCAGACGACCCCAGACCTCACTCCCCACACAGTGAACATTAATTCCTTGTTGTTGCTTCCTGAGGAACCCTCTGCACTCCTAGAAGACACTTTTCTTGTTTATTTATTTGTTTATAGACAGAGTCTCACTCTATACTGCGGGCTGGCCTGGGACTCACTTTGTCACTTAGGCTGGCGTCATACTTGTGGCAATCCTCCTGCCTCTTGACTACTGTTATTATAAAGAGCAAGGGGGACCTTGGCGGATTTGGGTGAGGTTGATCGAGGCGGAGGGACAAACATGCCAGGCAGAGAGAGCTTAGTGAGAAGTTTTACTAGAAAGGGGAGGGAGGGAAGGAAAGAGAAAAGAGGTAAAGAGACAGAGAGGAGCCGGGCGTTGGTGGCGCACGCCTTTAATCCCAGCACTCGGGAGGCAGAGGCAGGTGGATCTCTGTGAGTTCGAGGCCAGCCTGGTCTACAGAGTGAGTTCCAGGACAGCCTCCAAAGCCACAGAGAAACCCTGTCTCGAAAAACCAAAAAAAAAAAAAAAAAAAAAAAAAAAAAGAGACACAGAGGACAGAGGAGAAGAGGGAGACAGGAAAAGTCCTGTCTGCCCCCGGGGAGCTGAGGGGAAGAGACAGGGAAAAGACAGCAGAGAACCAAGGAGCAGGAAAAAGAGAACCAGGCAAGAGAGGAGAGCCTAAGGGCTTATGTGGGGGGGGGGGGTTCTTTCTTTTAAAGGGGTCCTTTGCACCTGGGCTGACCAGGGTACTGCCTGAGAGTATTCTGCCAGGTGACAGGGGCAAGCCAGCATAATGCCAGAATCCTTTTTTTGTTGTTGTTTGTTTTTTCAAGACAGGGTTTCTCTGTGTAGCCCTGGCTGTCCTGGAACTCACTCTGTAGACCAGGCTTACCTCGAACTCACAAAGATCTGCTTGCCCCTGCCTCCAGAGTGCTGGGATCAAAGGTGTGTGCCACCCACTGCCCAATGCCTGAATCCTTACAACTCCTAGGATTACAGATCTTACCACCAAGCTCAGCCAGAAAGCTCTATCTATGCAAGCATGAGTACTTGAGTCTGGCTCAGTAAAAAGCCAGGTGGGGCATGCTCATATCCCAGGTCTGAGAGGAAGGCAGATTCCCTGGGGCTTGCTGGCCGGTCTATCTAGTTATTTAAAGAGAAAAAGAAATGCATTAAGAAAAACAAGCTGGGGTCATCCTGAAAGGGTGCCACCCTCTTGTCCTTCACATCAACACACATTGGTGTGGAACCTGGCGCTAAACCATTTGTACACAACCTGCTTCTGGGTCAGGGTTTCTTACATAGCAGAGGGGTCCATTGCTGAAATCTATTGAAAGTCAGCACTTGACACAAGGGTTTGTCTAAACAGAAAGAAAACCAAGTCTGTCGGTGGTGGCCTTTAATCCCAGCACTCAGGAGGCAGAGTCAGGCAGATCTTTGAGTTTGAGGCCAGCCTGGTATACAGAGTGATTTCCAGGGCAGCTAGGGTGACCAAGAGAAACCCTGTTTTTTTTGTTTGTTTGTTTGTTTGTTTTTTTGTTTTTTTTTTGTTTTTGTTTTCGAGACAGGGTTTCTCTGTGACCTTGGAGGCTGTCCTGGAACTCACTCTGTAGACCAGGCTAGCCTCGAACTCACAGAGATCCGCCTGCCTCTGCCGCCCGAGTGCTGGGATTAAAGGCGTGCGCCACCAACGACCGGCAAGAAACCCTGTTTTGAAAAAAAAAAAAAGAAAACAAGTCAAGGCCAGTGAGATGCCTCAGCTGGCAAAGGCACTTGCTACCAAGCCCGACATTCGGAACGCAATTCGGACTGTCTTCCGGTTTTGTTACTTTATTTGGATATCCTGTGCTTTTGTCAACAGTGGATGGTGTATTTTGCATACCAGACGGCAGGTAAAATGGAATCACAGGGTAAAATAAGATCGGTGTTAGCCGGGCGTTGGTGGCGCACGCCTTTAATCCCAGCACTCGGGAGGCAGAGGCAGGTGGATCTCTGTGAGTTCGAGGCCAGCCTGGTCTACAGAGCGAGTTCCAGGACAGCCTCCAAAGCTACAGAGAAACCCTGTCTCGAAAAACCAAAAAAAAAAAAAAAAAAAAAAAAAAAGATCGGTGTTGCCTGTAATACCAACATGTACCAGGGTAAGGCAGGAACTGTCGCCAATTCAGGACCAGCCTGGGCTACAAGATGAACTTCTGTGCCAAAAGATAAACGAAGTCAGCTGTGGTAGTGTACAACTTTAACCCCACCACTCAGGGATCAGCGGCAGGCAGATCTCTATGAATTCAAGGCCACCTCGGTCTATGTGCAAACTCTAGGACAGCCGTGATTACACAGTAAGGCCCTGTTCAAAAAAAGAAAGAATGGTGTGGCGTCGGTTGACCCAGGTTCAACTCCCAGCACCCGTGTGGCTCCTCTTGCAAAAAACCCAGGTTCAATCCCCAGCACCCATGGGGCTGCACACCAACACTTGTCACCCCAGGTCTGGCCAGTCTGATGGCTCTTCTGACCTTTATGGGCTCCTGAGACTACACAGGCCAAACACACACATCAACTTAAACAAATAAATCTAAATACATAATAAATAAATAATAAAAG